ACCACTACTAGCGATCCTGCCAAAACTCCTACGGCACATCGCATCTCCTCATTTCCTGCTCTATTCCATTTCATTTCCCTCATTCATTTTCCATTTCCCATTTTTATTCATTTGTTACTTTTACAAAAACTACACAATTGGTGAGAGAGCTTAATGCGAGGGGATGAAAGTTCAAAAATCCGTGGTGTTCGCTCCTGGGTGTCCAGGATAGAAAATAAGACTAAACAATTTTATATATTTTTAGTTCATACACATACATTAAGCCGTTTTTATAGCGCAGCCTCGCGCTCTGCGACGCCCAATCGCCATTGCATCCTACCCTCCCAGAGACCATCCGGCAATCGGCACATGCTGATCTCCTCCTCCACCCCTTGTCGCCAACCTTTCACAGGACGTCCACGTCGTCGCCTTCCGGGAGGAACCCAATCGAAAACCTGCTTGGGCAACCGATCGTCTGTCGATTTTTAGTTGCGACAAAGTTATTTATTGTTAATTCATACCAATATTTCTTATTTCTTGTATACAGAAGTTGTAATATTAATACATAAATTTAAAAAAAAAAGCCGAACATCATATTTATTAATCAGTGAGACGAGAGTAATGTTAAAATAAGTATCTGAACTTCATAGAACTTTATTAAAACTTCGCTTTTTTCAACTTTCTCGCAGTAAGCAGCAACATTGAAGCGCATTTAAACCGCTCATCCACAAAACTCTCAACTTCCAACCGCCCTGAAATAATATTGAAGCCCGGAGAAATCTTAAACCAAACAATCCGAGACCACGGGGTTTAATCTACGTTAAGTTGATTTTGTTGGCATTTTAATCCGCCGTACTCGGTCGTAAATACATCAATGATTTTCCCCTCCGAGCGATTTTCCGAGGGAAAGTGAACCGACATTATTCCGGCGGGGGGGGGGGAGGCTCGGGGGTGGCTCATGGAGAATAGTTACGGCTCACGACAGCGCAGCCATTGCAGGAGTAATTTCAATCCCAACTTTAACCGCTACTTTTCCAGCTAATAATGGTCTTGTCAATCCCCGCATCCCGTTGCCGGGCCTCGCGTTGCCAAATCTGCGACTAATCGTCGGAATTTCCACGGAGAGCCTAACGGACCGATCGGTGTTTGTGCCAAACTTGGCAATTTTTGTTAGTGGCGAGCCCGCACCAAATTGCAATATAGTCTGCAACTCCGCGCCCTCCCCTCCCCGCGCGTCCATTGCCCCCCGCACCCCCGCCTCTTATCGATTCAGCCCCAACGAGGGCTTTTCCTCCTCTCCCTGATTAGAATACACCCACTTTCAGTTAAGTCTGCTCGTTGTCAAATTTGATGAAATCGTTGTTGGCACCATGTGTTGATGATGGAAGTATGGTACACGAGGTGGAGGGAAATGGGCAGATGAGGATCAAGCGCACTGCAATACACAATTTTTGCGGCCGCAGCGAATGGACCACTAGACAAGGTACGAATTTCAGCATTCTGATACATGTTACAAAATCAAAATTACACGTAAAATACGATGCGCACAACGAACATTACCGAAATCAACTCCTACCAAAGATAAATAATGATTCTTGATGCGTGAATTCAAACCACCCGTTCATGAAAACTCAATGCTCTGCGCGATTCATATCGTGCGCTAAACGTTATCATGACAGTCTCTGCGATATAAAAATCTCGCAACCTCAATCTTGACGCTTTGGCTCAGCAGTAGCAAATTGCTTATAGTTTGAACAACACATGGATGGAAATGAACATTACTCGATTGAGAAGCTTGTTGAAACCGTTGTAGTGCGCGATTTGACTAACGTAGAGCTTTGAGTTTCTTGTGAGCGGGCAGTTCAACTTCCTCGTAACCAGTGTGAAATAAAAACGTTAATATCTTCGTCAGGAGTTGGTTTCAGTAAGTTTCGTTGCGCGAATCGTTTTCTACGTGAAATTCTGGTTAAGAAACATGTATCAGATCGTTTAAATTCGTACCTTGTCTAGTGGTCCATTGCTCCAGGTGCTACGCCCGGAATTTTCGGCCTCTGAGCCCGGAATGCGGACGGTATGTCTATATAGCCCGTAACTACGGCTTTTCAGTGTGTTCATTTCTCAGTCCATTTGGGTATTTTTATTTATGAGCTAGGTAAGGTAGTCCCCTCTGATATGATTCAGTATAAGTGAGATCTCTTTTATTGTGATTTGGCCCCCTAAATATGATCGGCGCAATTTGAAAGTTGTCACCAAGTCGTTCGTTTATTTATCGAAATATATTAGACTGAATCAACACCACGGAAGTAGGTAATTTTTTAATTTAGAGAAAAAAAATTTAAATTTAAATGACGAGTTTTTGACACGAACTTGACAACCTGTTATACATTAAGAGGACTTTATGCTCATTAGGATCTATTGTTTATGAGCGAAACTTGTACAATCTTTAAGTTCACAGGGTTATGCACACTTGAAACGAAAAGTTCCTCAAAATAAAAAGTTTGAGTCTGAAATGTAACATGTGAGCTGTGATCTTCAAAACCATTCAAATTTTGTTCAATCTAAATCTTGTAGGATGCTGTAGCTGTACCCAAATTGATTTCGGAAATTGTGAGAATAAGATTTTTAACATTGTCTTGCAAAGATAATATTGCCCGGATATCATTGCAATGGATGTGCGCATATTTTCATCAAATGATATCTAATGCAAAAAATGAACATGACTTTTACCTTATTCTAATTTCATTGTCTAAGCCTAGTTTCATCAAGTCAAGCATGCACTAGAAAAAAAAACACATTGGATCTAGAGTCCAGACTCTTAAAAACATCGACAAGAAAAAGTACTCTTGGTTCAATCAGAATCTAGCTTAAATCAAGAACCAAGCCTCTTAATTTAAGCGGATTTCCTTTTGATTCAAGCAAAAATCCGATTGAATCAATTGTATTTTTTCTTGTCAATGTTTTCGAGAGTCTGGACTCAAGATCCAATATGTTTTTTTTTTTTTTTTTTCCAGTGTGAACTCATTCCGCATCTGGGGCATTCTCGTCGCCGGTTTTTCTTTATTTTATTTTGAAAAATAATTGTTGGTATCTCATGTTAGCGTGTCTTTTGTAGCGCGTACATGGCACATTTGTCTTCTCCGCGGACACCGGACACTCCTTTTTTCTTGCAGGCTGCAAAGTCAATACCCCTGGGCTTTGAAATATTTAGCAATCGCGTGCCATAAGATATCGACCCTCCGTAACTTTTAATACATCCGAGAATCTTTAAGTGACCGCGCGAACATGAAACGGACTGAAAAGAGTAAAGGTCTTTGTCTAGACAATATTCTATTCTGAGTGACCCGACGGCAAATTGTTTTTCTCACTCGAGGCGGTGGTGGTCTAATGCAGGTGAACTTATTTCCGATATGACCTATGTACACCAATGTGCAGGATCAAAATGTTGCGTCTGGAGCCTGGACTCCTTGACGACTGGCGAGAAAAAATTATGTGCACTTAAAAATAGTTCTTTTAGAAAAACCTTAGAGGTATACTCATGCACTGATACTACGACGTTTGAAATAGGAAACTTTTGCAGCATCAACAATGCTGCGTGCAAGGTTATTAGAAGTGGGTGGGGCTTTCCTCAAAACAAATAAAGTGAAAATCATTATATAGGTGGTTTTTCCCCAGACCAGTAGCACCAGCACCAGTGCATTTTTGTGTTTACCTTGGCGTATGGACGAGGAATTCAGGACGATACCGCTCCATCGCTGCTGGCATAAAACAAAAATCAAACATAATAGTCAAATTGTAACTGGAAGGAATTCCGATTTTCTGTAAGCAAGGTTAGCGTTAAGAACCGCAAATCTACCCCAAGCAATTGTTCTCTAGGGGGGGAAAAAAGAAACAATGAATATGATCAGAGACGAACTGGAGGTGGAGTTGATACATTCATGCCAACGGAGTCTATCTATATTGGTAGTTTTGAAAAAGACAAATGTGCAATATTTTAAGACTGGTAACATCTGTTGGACGGGAACGCATACATGAGTAGAGGAGGGTGACAGCGCGGCTGTTGCGAAGCGTTGAAATGAGGAGCTCGCAAAAGCAACTTACGACCTTTTTTTTTGCGTCATACAACTTTTACCCAGAACTTACTTTTGCGACACAAATCTAACTGCATGGAAACTTCATGAAATCCCTATATCCTCTGCAGGCCAATTTATGTTTTTCCCGTCCTTATTCACTTAAGGCATTGGTTGTGCGAGTCAAATTATGCCCAAACCGCCCACCAACCTACAATCCCATAAGATCCTATCGATGCGATCTCTTTTTAAACAGAGAATCTTTGAAATCCGTTTTTCTTGCAAAATAGTGTTTTTTAAGTTTGATGAAACTTTTATTTTCCTCTTTTATAGAGGGAATTTTTGTACCTCCCACAAGGTGGACACATTTTACTCAGTTAGGAAACAACCCATCTTTTGAATGTTCAATTGCCTGTATAAAGAGTGTTAAAGAGGAAACTCTGTGGTACTCATGCCTGTTAGTGTCATACGATGTTTAAACATCGTAGACCAAAAATAATTTCAAATCATTGCATTTTTAAGAAAATTACGGGCTGAATAGACATACCGTCCGTTCCGGGCTCAGAGGTCGAAAGTTCCGGATGCTGGAGCCGGAGCCTCGATTCCTCCGAGCGCTACGCCCGGAACTTTCGGCCTATAAACTCGGAACGGACGGTATGTCTGTACAGCCCGTAAGTTCGGCTTCCAAGGCCGGATTTTTTTTTTTTTTTTTTCAGTGTAAGAAATATCAACTCTAATTAGTTCCTCCGTTTTTTTATTTCCTTTTCTCCAGAACGGGATCGTTTTTTCCCACTAAAACGATTCAATTAAAATTGCTCTATCGTTAAACCGTGGGAGTTTCCTCAGTTTTCCTTCGACTATTTTTACTTTTCTCCCTCTTCCCCTGAGAGGGATTATGAGAAATTGATAAAAACGTGCTGATGAGTTGTTTGCATTGCCCGTTCCTTGTTCCAGCTGGCGGAGATCAACCGACATCCGTGGGTGACGGCCGGCGGGAAGGGTGAGCTGGAGCTGGAGCTGCCCATGATGGAGGTTGTCCAAACTCATATTATTCCGTCCGTCGAAGATATCGACACCGATGTCCTCCAAGCCATCTCCAGCCTCGGCTGCTTCAAAAACCGCGAAAAGCTCATCCAGGAACTGCTCAACCCCAGGTGCGTAGCCACCGTATTCCTCCATCATCTATGTGCACTGGGAAAAAAAATACATTGGATCTAGAGTCCAGACTCTTGAAAACATTGACAAGAAGAAGAACTCTTGATTCAAGCAGATTTAAGCTTAAATCAAAAGGAAATCCGCTCAAATTAAGAGGCTTGGTTCTTGATCTAAGCTTAAATCTGATTGAATCAAGAGTATGTTTTCTTGTCTATGTTTGTAAGAGTCTGGACTCTAGATCCAATGTGTTTTTTTTTTTTTTTTTTTTTT